TTTTGGTGTCCAACATGGCCAATCTTTTATATGGTAGAAAATAGTTTTCCTCTTTTTCCGGAGCTGATAAGAATAGATATAATGCTGAAGTAGAATGGATCAGTGGTCAGAAGTACTGTGATCAATTAGACCCATACCAGATTCGTGAATGGATTGATAACATCGAGAAGTGGCCTCAGTTGCAGTCAGCTTGGGGACATAGAAAGCAATGAAGGCTTATAAAAGTTTAGAATCATATAAATATTATAACAGGTAGGTTGTTGGACAGTTGCTATGTCTTTATCTTGCTGGCCATAGTGGATAAGGGTTCAAACTATTCTGCTACATTGTATATCTGACAAATGTTCTACTTTAGTAAATTTATGTAAACTTATTAGTTTTGGAAATACTTGTTTCAGAAAAAAATTATTACTGGAAAATAATAATACAAACAAAATACATAATAATCAATTATACTTTAATAAAACCACTTTACGACAATATGAACAGTATCCCCAATGCATTAAGTTGTGGTGGAACCATTCACTGTGACGTCAGGATGTACCATCGCAAGCAATCATCTTTCCCGTGTTCCCTGCAGAAACAATATGTACCAACTTCATTCCTCGTTTGTAGCACTCTGTTTCTTGTCCTGTTAGCATTTAGAATACCAGCAGTGCTGGAACCTATTCCTTGAGTCCAAACTGTAATGACTTCTTTGGCTCTAGCTAGCAACAGCCCCTCTTGTATCTTTGTAGAGCACTTGTTCTATAGGCTTGTTTTTCAACTTTATTGTAATCAAAATACTGATAGTACATTGTCTATTATGCTTGGGATTATTATGGTGTTTGTACAAAACTCATCAAGTACTGCCGGACCTACCTGTGACTGTCTGCTGGTCTACTTCGTTGATAACCAGTTCTGATAGCAGCTATACACCTATCTTTCCATGGAGAAATGATAAAATAACAAGTTCTGTCCCTTTTCATGACGTGAATGACAGCCAACTGCATAACAAGAAGGCCATTACTGTTGTATTTTGGACACCAAAATGGCAGTTTTGAAATTTTATGAAATTTTTTTCTCATCAGAACAATACGGTCTATTCATGAATATATTTAGCACCAAGAGGTCTATACAGTATACCCATATGTACCAGGGATGGGGCAAAGTACATTTAAGTATACTTAAGTAGTCTTTAGAGTACTTGGACTGTACTTACATGTAAGTCCTTTTTACATTAACTTCCTGTACTTGTACTTATGCTTAAGTACTTTACGAAGTACTTATTGATATTTCAGTACTTAAAAGTACTATAAGTACTTTGAAGTACTGTAAGTACATGTACAATAGCTTGTACATGTGTATATACATGTACAATGTACATGTACATGTACATATATTGTAGAAAGCATGATAACATAAGCTGTAAATGGTGTTGGGTCATTGTAACTATATAGCCAACAACAAATGTAGATATAGATGTAGATGGTTATTTGGAAGCACCAGCTCTACCTACAAAAACTAATCTTCTAACGTTTTGAAAAAGAAGTACTCCTTATTGGTAATGCTATAAAGTACAATGATTTCCATCATATCTTTCAACAGAGACACTTTTAAGCATTGCTAGCAAAACAATTTGGCCTGAAAGGTGTAATTTAAGGGACAATAGATTACAAAAATGAATTTTTATTTGTTCCAACATCAAGCACACATAAAAATAAATTTTATAGTTAATACATGTATGTGATTTAATTGTACTGTTCATATTACTTCACTTGTACTTAAGTACTTTCTATAGTACTTAT